TTTTTTTTTTTTTTTTTTTTTTTTTTTTATTCTATATTCTTTCATCGCTTTCTTCTTGAATTTTATTGTATTTTTGCATGCAGCTTACCCCCAGTAAACCCTTTTCTACTGACTGCCCTGAAAAGGAAAAACGCAACAACTAGAAAAAGAATTTATATATTTCCGTTTTTTGCTGCTTCTTGCATGAATCACACTCCTGAATTTCATCAATAAACCCTAAATTCATACATAAACCCTCGTTTTATCAGTAAACCCTCATTTCATGAGTAAACCCTCACTTCATATATATAATATAGCCCCTCATTAGAAACCCTCAATTCATACATAAACCCTCAATTCATACAGAAACCCTCAATTCATACATAAACCCTCAATTCATACAGAAACCCTCAATTCATACATAAACCCTCAATTCATGAATAAACCCTCAATTCATACATAAACCCTCAATTCATACATAAACCCTCAATTCATGAATAAACCCTCAATTTCTTGAGTAAACCCTCAATTCATGAATAAACCCGCAATTCATCTAGGAACACTTATTTCATGAACAAACCCTCAAATTCATGAATATATATATTTGTATATATATATATATATATATATATATATATATATATATAATAAACCCTTGATTTCATCAATATATAGTTTTGTGGATTCTTCTTTTTGTCTGCCTGTATAACTCACACAGCTGCTGCCTCTCCCATTACCCATCAAACTCAACTCTGTTTAGTTGCAGCATAAATACACTTTTCTGCTTTTTATATGTTTCTTAATTTAGTGTAACATGATTTAGGGTTTAGGGTTTAGGGTTTAGGGTTTAGGGTTTACCGTGAGTGTAACTTGAATTTTAGGGTTTAGGGTTTAGGGTTTCCTTGCTGCTTATCTGTTTCTCGTTTGCGTTTTTAGTGCTTTCAGTTGCTCCGTCATTGTTCTATCGATATGATCTGTTTTTATTTCTTTTGAATAAGTATTAAACATATTACTATTGCATATTTTTTTCTTTTTTCTTTTTGTTTTCCTCTTTCTTTTCTGTTTTTCAGGTTCAGACCGCCGGCAGCCTGGCGCCTCGAGGAGTTGAAATTGAATGTCGTGTTTCTTCGAGCTTAGATTTGAATCGTCAAGTTGTAAGAAGTGAAAACTGTTCTATATCTATACCTGAGCTGGAGTTGACGATCCCAGCATCTCGTGACAGAGCAGAGCTCAATACAATAGAGGGTTTTGTTTCTTCTTTTGCGGAGAATCTAAGAGTTGCTGCAGCATATCAACTGCAAATAGATGAACAAGAAAAAGCAACAAAGCTACTACAAGTTGTACAGACACTGCAACAAATGGCGGCAGGAGAAAAACCCTTCGTGCTGCAGCTCAACGATCCCAGCGGAAACAGTTATATTGAGAGCATCGAATCAGCAGCAGACAAGGAAGAAGAATGCAGCAGAAAAAGACAAGACACAGAGACTGAAACTGCAGCAACTACCAACAGCAGCAGCAGCAGCAGCAGCAGCAGCAGCAGCAGCTCGAGTTCTGCAAAGACAAGCAACTTGAGCGAGGGAGAGGGAAAGAGAGAGGACCTCTCATCGCCTGAAGACACCGAACAGCAGCAGCAGCAGCAGCAGCAACAGCAGCAGCAGCAGCAGCAGCAGCAGCAGAAGAGGATCACTGACACCGCTCTGACAATTCGGCACTACGAGAGAACGCGGGAACAGCTGCATGCAATGGGGTATTTCGAGGCGCAGGGAGAAGAAGACAGCAGCAAAGAAGAGGGTGAGCAGCAAGTTTATGTTTATTATATTTCATCATTTATTTTTCTTTTTTTTGTTTGTTTTTAACTTAAATTCATTTACTTTTATACATTCAAAAACATTGAAACACAAATGCTGCTGCTGCTGTTGCTGCTGCTCTACGTGCTCGGGCTGGTGAACCTGTGCTGCGGTATCCTTTGCGTGCAGCAGCAGCAGCAGCAACAGCAGCAGCAGGAACAGCAGCAGCAGCAGCAACAGAAACAGCAGCAGCAGCAGGGGAGGCCCCAGGAGCAGAAGCAACAGAGGAAGCACTAAAAGATGAGGCGCTGCTGCTGCCGGTTGAGTGCCCGCACTGCGGCGCCCACACCACCAACAAAGTCTGCCAAGTTGATATTCCAGGTACAAACCCTAAACCCTAAACCCTAAACCCTAAACCCTAAACACTTAAATTTGCTTCTCTGTTGCATGCATGCATGCATGCATGCATGAGCAAGCAGACGCACGCGCTTGCGTACATGTATCATGCATATATCTACACACCCATACACACACACACACACACACACACACACACACATATACATATATATATATATANATATATATATATATATATATATATATATATATATATATATATATATATATATATATATATTTGTGTGTGTTTCAGGGTTTCGCGAGTGTTTAATATTTGCGTTTTGTTGTCCTAATTGTGGAGCAAAGAATTCTGAAATAAAAGCAGCGGGGGCCTACGGGCTTGCGGGGCGGAGATGGATCCTAAGCGTGTGTTTTTTCTTCTTTTTTTTCTCTTTTTTTCGTTG